AATCTAGAAGTGAACAGATGATGACATGATCCTTACCGTACCTACAATCATCAATAAGAAACCCCAGAAATATTTCCTCTTCTCCATCACTAAAATAAACCACTTGTTCCTTCCAACCCCCATCCCCAACACATACCAGAGAAAGAACAATAAGAAGTAAAGAAGAGTAAGAACTCACTGATCATATAAAGTGAACCTGGGACTTCGTTTCAGAAGCTGAAATAATGAAAAGGGAAGAGAGATTTGAGAGAGGAGGAGAGGGTGGTGGGAAGATGCAGTGAATACTTGATGCACATTGATGAATTTGCAATGAAATTGTAAAGAATGGAAAAACGAGTGAAAATAAAGACGTTATAAATAATCACTCCCCTCCACACTGCTTTTCCATCCCAATTGTGTAACCCCCCTTACTTTTCTATATTTCTCCATTTGTCCCCCTCCCGCGTGTTTTTGTTTCCTTTACATCCGTTTGTGATCCTAAAATCTCTCTTTTCTCTTTTGTTGGGGTTATAAAGTTTACCTAAAAGAGAGTAACGTGGGCGAATAGAACAAGGAAAGGTAGTGGAATCCTCTGTGTGAATGTATTAGGTTGGTTACTTGTGGAGAAGGAAAGAAATAGGCCAAAAAGGTGGTATATTTAACACAATAGTTCAATAAAGTTGTACCGTCATTGTTTTAGGTTGAATTCAACTGCCCTTTTTTAGAGGCTTTTATAAAGTTCATTCATTAGATGTTATCCATAGAAAATTAGAAGAGTTTGGTCTTTGATGTGCATGTTTTATTGTAATTTTCTTTTCAAAAAAAATGACATATCACTTTCTTCAATTCAAGTTTTATATTAAATTGATTAAATAATATATGAAATAAAATTAGTAATTAAATAAAAATTAGAATAAATTTATTGAAATTTGTATGTATTAATTAGAATGACATTAAATAAGTTAAACTATTTAGATCTATTTAAATAGGGTGGGAGGTTAAATGAGTAGAAATATTGTTTTATATATATATACTATATTAAGTGATTCAAGTCAGCAAAAAAAAAAAAAAAAAAGAGATAAAGGGGTGAAATAAATATTCAAATTTTGTTACAAAAGTGTAAAAATCTTTTATACTAATAACAAAACTACTTTCAAAGCTCCACAAATTAATAGAAGCATTTGAATAACATGGAGGGAGATTAAAATAGCAAAAAAATATGAGGTCATGTTCAGAAATCAAAATCATTATAATGGTAAAAAAGGAATAAGAAAAAAGGTTAAGGACGGAAATGCAAAAACTTTTAAAACGAAAGTGGGAGGCCCATTGCAATCATTGGGATTATAGGAAGCACGCGGAAAGGTCGTTTTACAGATTTAACCCCCGATTCGGGTGGGCGCAACAATGGGCCTACTGACAACCCGGAATGCAGAAGCCGCCAAATTGTTCCGATCGAGGATCCGGGAATCATGCAGTTAATTTAGGTCTGCTTCTGCTTTAAGATTAGGGAATAATTAATCATACTCCCGCCGCACAATTATGTTAAACCAATTGATTACAATATCATAAAGGCTTGTAAATTTATAATTAGGTATATGATGATTTATCATTAAAAGAATAAATAAATTCAATAATTAAAAGTTTTAAACTTTAAGTTTAAGATTTTAATTTTAAAACCTTAAATGGGATGGAGGAAAAGATTTAAAAATAAGGGGAAAGTATTTGTTATATACTTAGATATACAAAATAAATAAATAAATAAATTTTTTAATAAAAATAACACATTATGCTTATATATTTATAATATTGCATAACTTATTCTTATTTGTTGAATTTTTAAAATTTCTTAGTTTAAAAGTGAAAAAATTAAAATGAGACAACTATTGTTGCGCGGGATGGGCATCGGTTGATTGAACAGACCAATTGAAGTGGTTAATTAACCTTTTGTTTTTTTATTGAGGAAAAGGGACAACTAATTATTGAACTAGATTAGTGTTAGTTATGTTAGTTTGATTGTTCATCTTTTTTATTTTGTTTTTTTTTATTTAATATACATCATTTTTTTTAAACCCTTGAAGGGAATTGATCCAACTCAATAGCACCTTATTAAGGGAAAAAAAATGAACTAAAAATTGGGCCTAAAAAACAATACCTTTTTGGGTTTTTTTTTTCTTTTCATCTTCGGAGCTAATTTTTGGCTTTTAATTTTTAAACTTGTAAACTAAAACCCAACCCAACGGTGTCTCAATTTTTAAAACCAACCATCTAGAAAACAAACTCAAAAAATTGGTCAAAAACCAGCCCACTGTCAAACGGTTTCTGAATTACTGGTCGGTTCACGAATTTTGCCCATCCCTAATTATTGCATGGAGGGGTTAAGATTTCAAATAATTAAGGTTTTGTTAGAATTAGGGCATGTCAATCGGCGGATTTCTTCATTTGATTAGACCTTTTTTTGCAGTAGGTGTTTTGACCATTTTAGTTACAGTACAAAGTAGTTTGGCAGGTTTTGTTTTGTTTGCATTTATCAAAAAGAAGAAGAAGAAGAAGAGGAGGATGAGGAAAACGGAGGTTCTTTTGTGAGTGGTGGTTATTGTGAACCTAAAATAAAAATATTTAGGTTATTAAAATTTTAGTAAAATTTCAAAATAGTATTTAAAAATATTATTTGTTTATTAATCAATTTTAATTTAATAATTAATAAATATTAATGATTACATTAATTAATAATTAATAATTATCATTAATTATTATTTTTATTAATTAAATTAAACAAAATAAAGACAATAGCTCATAATCTTTGTGGCTATAATATTCTTGTTGGCTGTGATAACTATGCCACAATCACAACGTGGTGATGTGGGATTAAATTACAAAGAACTAAATTCTAATCACCGAGGTGTTGGGCCAAAAAAAATCCTTGGTCCTCTCGCCATCCTAGCAAAAGGCCCATAATCCATTAGATACGGGACAGAAAGTCGGCTTAGCTTACAAACAGAAATGTTGGGATCCGACTAGTTTTGGGCCCAAAACCACGGAAACTTACCCACCCACCGCCCACTCCTTTTTTTTTTTTCACGTCGGCTGAGAATACAATTTGGTTGCTGAATGCTGATACACAATCGGGCAACGGCCCTTCCTCCAGACCTCTTAAACATGGCTTCCCTTCACATTCCCATATTCCCATATTTCCCACCGGTTTTTTTGTTTGGAAGAAGCATCTACGTTCCGGCGAGGCTTGAGAATGCCGGTGAGTCATCATCCTTCTTTATCTTAAGCAAAATATGCAATTTCCACACAATTAACCATGCGTACCTGATCTTAGTCGATTCATTTTCATGAAAATTGACTTCCTTTGCTTTATCGTGAAACGTCCAGCAGCACCACCATCACCGACATTTTGGCCGTGAGAACTAGGCGGCATCATTTGTCCTCTATAATGCTTTTGCATCCGGTGGTTGATCGACCCACCATCGCCTCATCTATGATCAATCACACGATTCTGATGGTCGATGAATCACCATTTTTGCACACCATTTAAAGCGCCAAAAATCCATTTTGTTTCGCCGCTGTTGCACGCCATATCTCCCTGGCTTCGCATGCGTTTTGTAACACAGGTTTTCTCTTCTATTATCCAGAAGCCATGATCTCATACATTTCGAAAATAGCCTAAAGATTGTTAGAAATTGGGGGTTAGAAAACAGAATATTGGCTTCAAGGCATGCTGTAAATGTCATTTTCCCTTAGGCTACTTTCCCTGCATTATTTCGGTATACAATGAAGCCCTATTGATTATGCCTTGCACCGATAAAACCAACCACTAAATCTCACGCCTTCAAGGGCAAAGCTATCATTGTACAAAAAAGGACTATTTTACACTGAAAAACAACAAGAGGACGAGTACAAGGCTTTTGTAGGTTATAGGTGTTTGTTGATAAAAAATACCTCTTTATAGACATATCTCTTCTATTTAAAAAGAAAAGACATATTTTCATTTATGTCATCTCCCAACCATTATCTTCTTTCCTCTATTTTGAAAATTCTCCAACAGCCATGTCGAAGGAGAAACTTCCGTGGTCTGCCAGATTGTATTACGGACTTGTCGTAATTCATCATTGAATATGACTTCTGCACCGGGTTCTTCCTCTGCAGAAAACTCGAAGGGGAAAGAATTGATACCCCCTTGAAATTTATCTTTATCTTTATCCTTCTTATGTTCAATGATAATAATAATCTAGTTATTGCTGCGAGAAAGCTTAAATAGTCATAGTCGAGGAAACATAATTTGTTTTGGATTTGGACCATGGCTTTTCTCCTCATCATTTCTCAATTTTTTTGATAATACTTATCATTGTCGTCATGTTGGTGAATTTATTATATAACATGTTTGGATTCTCCTTCTCATCACTTTAGTCTCATGGACTTTATTAGTTAATCTCACATAAGAAACAGGAGGAATGGGATGTGAATTTAATTACATATGCTACCTTTTCTTTTTAGTTTTTATGTTTCGAAAAAATCGGTTTTTTCTTGTTGGTGCTGTTCTCGATGAATCTATCAATCAAGTGTTTTGATGTGGGTTGAATAGCCTTAAAAGATAATGGTTGAAAATCGATCAAACTAAAGGATGTTTGTTGATGATCTTTGGAGAGGTAAGCCTGGCCTAAAATCAGCTTGAGACCTTGAGCTCATGTAAAGTAGACTTGATCAAATAATAGTTGTACGTTTTGTTTTTTTTTTTTTTTTCTTCGCTGCTGATACACAATATTGTTTGGAACACTACTACATGTTAGCAAACAAACTGTAGGTCTTGGCATCCAGAACCATCTGTCGAACTGATGCTACCGCCCCAACTGCTGCCAGTGCTGTTGAGACTACTGCTATCAATGTGTTGCCCCAGAATATAAGGCTCTTTTTTGATGGCTTGAATGTAGCATTGTAGAAAACCATCGGCAAAATGAAATCCAGGGGTATGATGCCAAATGCTCCAAACAAGGCCATGATGTCTCCAAAGAACGGTAGCATAGCAGCAAATAAAATGGCAGTAATCACTGAGAGTGATCGGGAAATCAGCCTTGGTACAATGTTTCTTGTGGAAAATTGACCCATCTTCGGGTTAGCAAAACATTTTTCGAACAGCTCGTTTGTTGGCTGCATATAGGTCTGCAGGAAACAATGTAAGAAGACGTTAAGGATATGCAAGACTTTGAATTCAGCAGGTCTATGTGAGATTCCTGTTTTTGAAGAGCCCTTACAACAGTGATGGCAGAGAGTTGGAAAAGAGCGAAGATATTGGTTGTCAAAAGAAACCAAGTAGGCAGCAATGGCTTCTGATTATCATCCATGAAATTGTTAAGAATTGATGATTGTGTGTGATTGCCAAATGCCCAATACCCAGAAACTGCAACACTGAAATATGTCATCAAGATGACAGTAAAACAGATGCACAAGCCTTTGAACATCTTGCCCTTCACTGGAGGAGCTATAGTTGCCTGCAAAAAGGAATTTACCTCTTGTTCAGCTTTTACTATTAGACTGAAACTAAACTAAGAGAGGAGAAAACAAAGGAAACCTGTATTTCAGGGATGATCCCACATCCATAGGCTGTGGCAATGATAGAAATAGCATTGATGGCTCCAAAAACATGGTTTACTTCAGATCCATTGATGGAGTAGTCCTTTACTGGAGCATTCCTGGAATTTCCTGTTAAGGCAATTGCTGTAAGTATAAAACTCGGATGATATCGTACGGAGCAGCTTATATTGTATTTTGCTATGATTTCTTACCAATGTGTATGGAACCAGCAACGGCAAAGGCACTGTAAGCAAAACAGAGGACCAGGGAGCCAAGGTTGATGTGTCTTAGGGAGTGGAAGGATGGCAGTTGAGCAAAGATCAGTAGCACAGCTCCAAAAATCATTATGAACTGATATAGCTGCATTCCTCCGTTGGGCTTGTAGAGCAGGTAAACAAACTGCAAAAACAGGTCAATGGATTTGTAGTTGCTAGTTTTGTGAGGAGAAATTTGTGGGGTGAGGCAGAGGAGAAAGTGACTGACCTTCAGGCATTGCCCTCCAAGAAGAGAGCCACCAATCACAGAACCATAGCATATTGCAAACTGAAGTGGGCCAACTAAGTATTTTCCCCATCTGGGTCCTGTCAAAATGAAGAAGTTAAGAAATACCAAATTAGGGTTATGGGAACAGTGAGAGGGAAGTGAAGGCCTCACCAAGTATGTCTGTAGCCATGTCCCTGAACCGGAGTTGACGCTTTCCAAGCTGAGCGTGGTGCTCCAGAACCAGAGAGAGAAGATTGTATGAATAAAAGGTAATTAGAGCTGCAAATGCTAGGCAGAGGATTCCGTATACCCATCCCAGTAAGGCAAGAGCAAAGGGAAGACTGAAAATAACCGGAGCCACAATAGAAGTTGTCAAATGATATCCACAGTGCAGCCATGATCCTACAATCAAGAAAATATTGAAATCTCCTTGCCCTTATCTATGTTGACAAAATATCAGTTCTTAGTTCAGAAAGGAAGCCGTTCCTTGTGTGCTGAGCAGAGAAAATGAACTTGCAAAGATGACTGCCATTTCTCTGCTTATTGGTCATAACATGATTAATAAGCAAATCATAGATTTTAGGAGAAACAAAAAGAGATACTCACCTTTTGATTTCAGTACAAACAAAGCTCCTGCGTCAAGCTCCTCCAGACATTGAACAGTAGGGTTTTCTTTGTCGGTGGAGGGTACATCCATGGAGTCTGGAAACACAGTACCCATTTTTGTTTCTGCTTGTTCTTCTTCTGATCTTCAATTAGGTGTATATATGCAAGCAGAAACTAACATCTAGAAGGGATGCACAGTTGGCTCCTTTGTCTAGTCAACCAACTGCTCATGGCAGTTACGTAATATAATATTTAGAGTAACTTTGAACGCCGTAAATTTAAAACAGAAAGGATGCTGAGGCCTTTGTTGAAAATGGTTGTGGGTCAATTTAAAGGAAAAGTTCACCGAACATTAGCAAATATAAGTAGATAATGCCTATTTTAATTAGGTAATGAAACTGTTCCAGGTTTATTTTACTTGTTATTAGTTGATTAGATGGTCCTTGTAATGTTTTGTTATGTTGAAGTATGTTTTCTTTGTAAATGTGAAGAGTAAAGATTTCACATTAAATAAATATAAAAGAAAATAGTAGTTTAAATATGTTAAAAACCTATGAAATTATTAAATTAATTTTTCGATTACAAAATAATATTAAAATATATGATAAATTACTTAATACCTCTTTGTTATATTTGATGTTTCTCTAATAAGAGGTGTCAGAACTAATGGTAATATAATTAGTAGTAATTTTGAAGCTTAGCAAAAAGTGAGAGTAAAACTTATGTAATATCGGTTTTGGTATTTCTTTTGTTTGATTACTACAATCATTCATAAAGACACCCTTAAACAATATCTATGATGTCCTAATGATTTAGCATTTTCTTCACGTTGCACTTTTGAGGAGTAGTCCAAAATAGTATACAACTAATTCTAGAGGATGACACCCAAGTCTCGTGTCTAAGTCTTGGGCTGGGCTTAGAAAAAAAAAATTAAAAATAGAGTAAATATTATGTAAATTTATGATGAGTATATTTATAAATAATGTTGTGCTTATAATGAATATATTTATGGATTATGTATGTATGTTAAAAATATATGAAAAGAAGAGTGTTGAAATGTGTTTTCTTATGAGTAAAAAGAATAAAAATTCTATATCAAATAAATATAATAAAAAAGAGTAACTTAAATATATCAATGATTTATAAAATTAATAATTAATCTTTTTATTATAAAATGATGTTGAAACATATGATAAACTACTCAACACCTTTCCTCTAAGCGGATCCCAGACATTTTCCATGCTCCAATATCTGGTCATAAAGGTGGATGAGCTAATTGGCCAGACTCAGCCCCCAATGCTTACTACATGCATCAACTGCTCCCCTTTGAATGCCACGGCCCACCGATTTCTTTTTAGAAGAATAAAATGTTGGGTGCTCTCTTGTATTCCTATTCTTTCAAACAGGTCAGCTTCAAGCCTAAATATAAGTAAATGATTTCTAGAAGTCAAAAGATGCTCACCTTTTATGTTCTAATCAACAATTTGGCACGATATTGAATCTAACTGCATATGATAAAATTGTGCGTGAATTATTTATCCAAATTATTTGGACTGTTTGATTTCTAGGCATTGTGGTGGTGAGAGTTGCTATCTGTCCTTAATATATATGATGGTATTATAGGGATAATTGTTTTTATATATTTTTTTAATATAATTTTTATGTATCATTAAATAAATAGATGTATTCAATATCATATGAATAAAAAAAATTAATTATGTAAATAACACGTCAAATTATATAAAAAAAAATAAAAAAATTATTTCAAAATCATTTTCTAATATATATAGTTTTTATTTACGACTAGGATGTATCCATCCATTGGAAAACAAAAAAAATTTATATCATACGAGAAATACTGGAATCCTTAATCCTCCAAGGAATGTGGGAGCTGTATTTCTTTTCCATAAAATATTAGCCTTCATGTTTGATTTCTGTGGATGTATTAACTTAGTTGTTTTTGCTTTTGCTTTTGCTTTTGCATTTTTTTTTTTTTTGCTTGATTACTACAATCATTCATAAAGACACCCTTAAACAATATTTATGTATGTCCTAATGATTAAGTTCAAAAAATGTATGTCCTAATGATTTAACATTTTCTTGCCCGATGCACTTTTGTAGAGTAGTCCAAAATAGTATTCAACTAATTCTAGAGAATGAAACCCAAGTCTTGTATCAAGTATTTTATTTATTTATTTTTAAATAATCTTTTATTTATTTATTTATTTATTTTAATTCATTATTTTTTTTTCCAACCCAAAACACTATATGTTTCAATTTATTGATGCCCCCTTGAAATTTACCTTCATAGATATTTACGCTTACCTGACTTTTGCTGAATGATTGAAAATAGATCAAACTACAGGATGTTTATTAATGATCTTTGGTGAGTCAGCCTGGCCTGAAATCAGCTGGAATTCATGTAAAGTAGAAATAGTAGTTTGTACGTTTTGTTGCTCTTTTTTTTTTTTTTCCTGCTGATACACGGCATGGCCTGGAAATTGGAATACTACATGTTAGCAAACAAATGGTATGTCTTGGCGTCAAGAACCATCTGTCGAACTGATGCTACTGCCCCAACCGCTGCCAGTGCTGATGAGACTACAGCTATCAATGTGTTCCCCCAGAATACGAGGCTTTTTTTTGATGGCTTGAATGTAACATTGTAGAAAACCATTGGCAAAATGAAATCCAGGGGTATGATCCCACATGCTCCAAACAACGCCATGATGTCTCCAAAGAAGGGTAGCATAGCAGCTAAAAGAATGGCAGTAATCACCGAGAGTGACCGAGCAATCACCCTTGGCACAACGTTTCTCATGGAAAATTGATCCATCTTTGGGTTTGCAAAGCATTTTTCAAACAGCTCATTTGTTGGCTGCAAGTAGATCTGCAGAAAACAATGTAAGATGGTGTCAAGGATATGCAAAGCTTTGAATTCACTCGGCACATTTTCAGATTTCCTGTTTCTGAAGAGCTCTTACCACAGTGATGGCAGAGAGTTGCAAAAGAGCAAAGATATTGGTTACCAAAAGAAACCAAACAGGTAGCAATGGCTTCTGATTTTCATCCATGAAATTGTTAAGAACTGATGGTGCTGCCATATTGCCAAATGTCCAGTACCCAGAAACTGCAACGCTGAAATATGTGGTCAATACGACAGTAAAACAGATGCACAAGCCTTTGAACATCTTGCCCTTCACCGGAGGGGCTATGGTTGCCTGCAAAGAAGATTTTACCTCTTGTTTCAGCTTTTACCATGAGACTGAAATTAAACTAAGAGAGAGGAGAAAGAAAAGAATGAAAGGAACCTGTATTTCAGGGATGATTCCACATCCATAAGTGGTGGCGATGATAGAAATACCATTCATCGCTCCAAACACACGATTTAGTTCAGATCCGTTGATGGAGTAGTCCTTCACCGGTGCATTCCTGGAATCTCCTGTGAAGGCATTTGCTCTAAGCATAAGACCAAAGATGATAGATTAGAGAAGCAGCTTATAGTGTATTTTGGTTTTATTTCTGACCAATATATATAGAACCAGCAACTGCACAGGCACTGTATGCAAAACAGAGGATCAGGGAGAAAAGATTGATGTGTCTTAGGGAGTGGAAGGATGGCAGTTGGGCAAAGATCAGTGGCACAGCTCCAAAAATGATTATGAATTGATATAGCAGCATTCCTCCATTTGGGTTGTAGAGCTTGTAAACAAACTGCAAAAATATATCAATGGATTTGTAGTTGGTTTTGTGAGGAGAAGTTGCAGTGTGAGGCAGGGGAGAAACTGACTGACCTTCAGGCATTGGCCTCCTAGAAGAGTGCAGACAATCACAGCACCGTAGCATATTGCAAACTGAAGTGGGCCAACAAAGTATTTGCCCCATCCGGGTCCTGTCAAAATGAAGAAACTCAGAAATAACAAATTTAGCTTATGGGAACAGTGAAGTGAAGGACTCACCAAGTATGTCTCTGGCCATGTCCCTGAACCGAAGCTGACGCTTCCCAAGCTGAGCATGGTGCTCCAGAACCACAGAGAGAAGATTGTATGAATAAAAAGTCACTAGAGCTGCAAGTGCTAGGCAGATGATTCCGGGTACCCAGCCTAGTAAGGCAAGAGCATAGGGAAGACTGAAAATCACCGGACCAACAATAGATGTTGTCAAATGATATCCACTGTGCAACCATGATCCTACAATCAAGGAAATAGTAGAATCTCATTCCCCTTCCTTTGTTGGTAAATATTTGCTCTTCACTCGGAAAAAAAAAATTTGTTCACCTTTTGGGAAGCAGCGAATATGTATTTACTTATAACATGATTAATAAGCTAATCATAGATAGATTTTAGGAGAAACAGGAAGTGGAACTTTTATTACTTTTATTGGATACCCACCTTCTGATTTGAGCACAAATAATGCTCCTGCATCAAGCTCTTCCTCAGATTGAACCTCGGGGTTTTCTTTGCCTGTGGTGGGTACACTGATTGAGTTTGGAAACACAGTACCCATTTCTGTTTCTGCTTATTCTTTTCTGATCTTTAATTAGCAGTATATACGCAAGTAGGATATGGATAGCTGGCTCCTTGTCTAGTCAACCCAACTGATTGCTGTTGGTTATCACATAATTCAACCTTCAAAGCAAGTTGGGGCAAATTGTTTCGGACCATTCAGATGCAAAATTTGAAAGAGAATGGAAAATTCATGTATACAATGCATAATTTAATTACGCTTATCATACTAACCCACCTGTATTTTACTGGATCGTTGAATTGATGTTCCTACTCTCTTCTTCCTAAACCATGTATGTGAAAATCATATTGTCTTACAATTAATTTAAAATAAAATTACATTAAACCTCATAAATTTTTTTTTAAGATTTAATTTTCTATTTAAAAGTTTCAAACTCTAGATGTAACAGTTTCTAAGATTTTCTAGTTTCCCCTCTCTGGCGGTAAAGATGAATGGAGATGGACGAAGTAAGCAAAGCTCCGCCTTCAATGCTTACTGTATATCAACCCCACACATTTGAATATCCCCAGGAAAAGAATAAGAAGTCGTTGTCTTCTAGTGTTAACGTGAAGCAACAAGTCAGCCAATAAGCTTGAATGTAGATGATTTTAATCGTGCACGATGCATTTTTACAGTAGATGTCAAAAACAGCTCAATCTTTTTTTATTCTAATCCAATAATGTCTTGACATTGAATTGTTCCCATTGGCAGTGACTGCTTGACTTCTAGGATTGGAAGTCGCTTTCTTATTCTGAGCAATAGTTTCCATCATCATCACGCAAGGAATCTAGAATCTGGAATCACCCTTTTTCTTTGGGTGTGTTTGGGTGAAGACAATGACACATACATAACAGAAATTATTAATTTTAACAATAAAAATAATAAAAATTATTAATTTTAATGATATAAATAATAAAAATTATCAAT